GTTTGTGTGGTTGTGGCGCGGGGGGGGGGTGGGGCGCGGGTTTATGGCACATCTGCAAGGCTTTGTGCAAGCGCAGAAGATAAGGATCTCTAAGTATAAAATGAGGCAGATGGGGGAGCAGAGTACAGGGGAAACAGACACATCTGCAAGGCTTTGTGCAAGCGCAGAAGATAAGGATCTCTAAGTATAAAATGAGGCAGATGGGGGAGCAGAGTACAGGGGAAACAGAGAGTATTGATCCGCAGGGGTTTCAGCCTGCCAGCAGCTTGGCTGTGGAGGGTTTTAAGTATCATGACAAAGGAAGGATTTGATTGATAATCCAGTACCCCAGCAGATGTTCAAAGGGAGTGTGCCCGAGGGAGGGGGGTGGCAGGGGAGAAAGCAGGAAGGGGCTTGTTCAGTAAGGAGGCAAGTGGGAAATGCAGGCTGGTACCATGGGCCACCTGGAGGTGAGTCGATAGCAGGGGCGGAATGAGCGGCTCCTTTGATGCAATAGCCGAAGGGGGCCGATAACTTGGTCTGCAGCAGCTCTGAGATCATGTAGCTTCAAGAAATTCTCTCTCTATTATGTCACTTGCACTGAGTTTCTGGGTCTCTGAGGAGCTTGAATAGTAACTGCCACATATGGCAGACAAGCTGGGCCCACCTGCCTGCCCTGCCCTTTGTATTTCTGCATGGGAGGGAAACTGGTCTGGGCAGGACATCTGGTCTAAAGTGGGGCAGCAAGGATGGGGGTGTGGGGAGAGCAGTGAGCTGGATGGGACAATTGGTCTGTTGAGGTCCAGGGCAGGAAAACTGGGCTAAATGCCTCGTGTTCTTGGTCTGGTGCAGAGACCGCATGTGTAATGTCCCAGCCTCTTTGCTAACAAATTGCAGCTGCAGCCCCAGTTCTGGTGACCAAGTGTTTGCTTCATCTGCAGGTGACTTCAGCCATGTCATCTGACGAAGGCAAGCTCTTCATTGGAGGACTCAGCTTCGACACCAATGAGCAGAACCTGGAGCAGCTCTTCTCCCCCTATGGGGACATAGCGGAAGGCAAGTCTGTCAGTCTTCCCGCCCCCTTTCCTCTCACTCAGCACGCGGTTACGCCCCCGACTCGGCCTTGCCACGGAAATGCCTTCACCCAAGCATGAAACACGCGGCCTGTCCGTTAGCAGAAATGGAGGCAGGACTGCAGGTGTTGGCGGGAAGTGCTGGGGGAGGGGAGCCTTTGAACAATGGGGGTGGGACAGGAAATTGGGGCTCATTGTGGGAAGTGCCCACTTCCTCCAGGGAAAATGTTATGACTTGGGCTGAAAAGTTCAGGTTTGGGCCAGAAACAGGGTTTGCTTGGGCTCCTTCCCTATCATGTCTCAGCTTTCCTGGGCTACCCGTGACACACCATGGTGAGGGGTGTTTGTAGCGCGCCCAGAAAAGACCACGGGCTTGTGGGAATAGTGATCTGGCTGGGCGTCAACGCCATCTTGGTTCAACACACTCAGGTTGGGAGACTTTGCCAGAGGGAGGACTGACAGTTTTGCATGGAAAAACTTCTACGAGGAGATGCAAGGAGTTGGAATTTGCTCTAGTGAAAAATTCATTTCCTAACCAGCTTGTGGGAATTCACCTGGGATCTTCTAGCCATAACCTGGGCTCTGATCAATCATGTAGTCCGGTGGTAGGGGAAGCACAAGCCTGAAAGCGGCACGTTGAATTGTCATGCACGCTTTCGAGCAGCGGCATCCCAGGGTGGCGATAGCTGGGGCGTTCCCGGCTAGTGGAGCAGCAAAGAGGCCAGTTTGTGAGCTATAGCGGTCCCCTGTGCTGGCAAGCGTCTTTCTCTTCCAGAGGCACTTCCCACCCACCGGTCTTGCTCATGTCCTAGGACCAGCGTGGCTTCAGCTACACTGCTAACATTAAGCACATCAGTTACTGCTGAGTCTAAGGACCGGCCAAGGATAAGCCCTCACTGGGTCCGTCGAGCACAGGAGAGCAGGGGGTGCCTTGTTCTGATGAGCCGGTGACCCTCTAGGCCATACCCTGTGGGAGAAAGGGCCAAACCTGCGAGCAGGGAGAGTGGTCAGAGACGGCAGCGAACGCCAGGCTTTTGGGAAGCAAGGGGGTCGTTTGGCTGGGAGCAGGGTATTGAATTGAAGGGGCATGGCAGGGGGAATGAAGTGGAGGTGAAAGGTGGGTGAGCAAACTGTCCATAGCTCTGGCTCCTCCTTGCAGTCCGTCCACAGACCGCAGGGGCCTCCTCCTTGCGCTGGCCTAGGTCCAGGGCAGTGCCAGTGGGGAGTGGTACCCCAGATGGGTCCCATTTTACCATTAGCCTTGTCCCTGCGTTGGCGCTTTCTGCCTTGGCCTGCTGAAGTGTGAGATCTGCAGTGTGTCCTGCTGACTCGGAAAGTGCTGCCCCTCTTAAGGCAAGGAACCCAGGGGTCTCCCTCTGCAGAAGCCAGTGACTTGCTAGGGGCCCAGGCAAGGTGTGACTGTACAGCCCAGCTACTGTACTGTGGGTAGACGGGCTTTAGCCTTTCTGAGGGGCCTGGCCATGGGGCGCCCTCAGTGGGTCTCTAGGGTCTGTCCTTCCTGCAGCCAGCCCCGTGTGGGGAATCCCGGTGCTCTGAGTGCTGCAGTGAGTTGGTGGCCGTGCGTTAGGGGAGACCGACTTCCTGGCTGGGGGCAGGTGGTGTGCGCTGGGGGTGCTGACACCCTGACCCTCGCTCTTCCAGTGGTGGTAGTGAAGGACCGCGAGACCCAGAGATCCAGAGGCTTTGGCTTCATCACCTACCGCCGCCCAGAGGATGCCAAGGATGCTATGAGAGCTATGAATGGGGAGGTGAGTGGGGGTAGCCCGAAGAGATGGTGGCTGGATGTGCTGCCGTGTGCCCCCCCCCAAATCCATGCCAGGCTGCTGCCTGACTCTTCCAGAGCCCCCACAGGCAGACAGCTCTGTCCCCCTGT